ACAGACAGACAGACAGACAGACAGACAGACAGACAGACAGACAGACAGACAGACACAGACACAGACACAGAGAGAGACAGACAGACAGGCAGACAGACAGACACACAAACAGACATATATACAGATAGACAGAGATAGAGAGGGACAGACGTAGAGACAGATAGACAGAGAGACAGAGACAGAGAGAGAGAGAGAGAGAGAGAGAGAGAGAGACAGATAGACATAGAGAGAGAGACACACACCCACAGAGAGAGACACAGAGAGAAACAAAGAGACGGACATCTTTTTCATACTTGATATTACGGGGTTTTTCCAAATTATGCACCAAGAGAGATAATTCAATACCACTGGAACTACAGCAGGGGTCAGTCGAGAGTCACTCCTTTTCAACACCCAGACCACACTGTCAGTCTTGAGTTGCCTCTGCTCAAATATTCTTCTCGTTGTCACTTCACCAATAACGCCATACATTTTTTGACACCGAAGTAACATTCTGTCAGGTTACACACAACGTAGTCTTAGTTTAGTTTAGTTTGAGTAAAGAGAAACAAGTCGACCGAATAATGGTGAAACGTGCTGACAAAATGAGTTACTTCTCGGATTCGAGCCCTATGGAAATGGGCACATCACGCTTATGGGAAGTTATTACAATTTATAAGTATGTTATATTTAAAGACTGTGGCATCAATAAAAGAAAATTACAAATTTGACGCAGGTGTCGATTTTTTCCCAATATCTCCATTTCTGGATTGCGAGAAGTAACTCACTTTGTCAGTTGTGCTGGGAAAAAGTAAGACAGACAGACTGAAACAATAGAGGAGAAAGTAAAGAAGTAGGACCTACCAGTAGCCCCCTCCAACCACCCGCAACATATTCACATACCTTACACATAGTATTATAATGGCTATACCTTCCAATCTGTTCTAACAAGAATCTGTTCAAGACAATTATCTGCACAAAGGACAACAGCGTCCCATACCCCCTTGTGTTTTTATTCTTTTTTTTATTATAGCAAACGTAAGTGTATAATTCTATGTGTGTGTGGGGGGGGGGGGGGGGGGGCTCAATCATAACCAAATATCAAAATTTCAATTCCTCACTTTGTTCAAAATTACCAGCATTAAATCAATAAGAGACCTAGTTACAAGGAATTTAGCCCCTACAAAGATTTCTAGCATCTTCTATAGCAAAACTTTCTCAGTGAACACATTCTTCGTAGTTACAGTGTTTCTAAACTATTATTCAGTCATATGTATTATTTCTGAGTTATTTTTAAAAATTGATTAATTAGTATTATTTCTACCTTTTTTTCAAAATTAGTTAATTAGTATTATTTATAACTTTTGTAGAATTCGTTTATTTACATAATTTATATATTTTTTAAAATGTATTCATTAGTATTATTTCGAAGTTGGTTCGCCTATTTGTCCTGTTGTTTTTCGGGGGGGGGGGGGGGGGGGGGTTGGTTCTCAAGAGACCCTCAAGAGAAACACGTTACTGTTCACTCCACAAATCTGGGTAATTTGAAAAGAAAAGCCTTATCGCGTGTCGAGTACACAGATTCTAGAGTTGTTTTAAGTGGGGGAGAGACAGCCGGGGAATTGTACGCTATTGTTTCTCTATCAAGTATTACTTCCCTGAGTCGGAAGACTGAGAATCGTGTTAAGCTCGGCACGCAACGTTGTTGTACAAAAACTAAAAGTTGGATATCCGAAAACGCCAAAAGTAGACGTTTATGTCAATACCACTAAAGCGAGTCCTTCTGCCTTGCAGGGCCTTCATTTCCCAGTAATCTGGTCTTAGTCTGTACATCAGCGAACCAGCAGACATGACATTTTAAAAAGCAGTTCTGTAGTGCTGTCGTTACTACGAGACAAAAAAATGACTCACTCCGTAATTGTTTTGTTTTTGTGTTGTTTTTTGTTTGTTTTGTTGTTTCTTTGTTTTGTTTTGTTTTGTTGTTTTTTCAATTTATTTTACAATTATGAGTGAAAATGATAATGGATTTATGACTGTTTCATTTGAAAACAATTTATTTGTTTGTTTTTTTGTTTTTGTTTTTTTTAGACTAGGGACTAAAATGAGAAAGGACATATGGATCTGTCATTCGAACACTGTTTTTTTTTTTGGTTTGTTTTTTCATTTTGTTTAATAACTAATCCGATCTGCAAGAATGGGTCCCGACGAGCAGTCAGACTGATCAGTGCTTACCCCAGACTTATACTTTGATACATTACAAGTTTATGGTGCGTACGAATCAAATGGAAATCGGCGAAATGAGATTTTGGCCTCGACATCATACCGTCTCCCGAGCGTTTGGTCAGAAAAAAAAGTGAGTGCAGACAAAGTAGAAAGTGCACATTCAAATCGCAATCGTCCTCGTTCTATCGACCATTATAGGACTTACAAGACAGAGTCATG